TCCTCTACTCGGATGTGCTCATTGATGCGCTGCATGAGCTGGCCCATGGAGGTCGGTTGGTGCATGGTAAGCGAGTCTCGCAGTCTATGGCCGACTGGGAGACCACGCTTATATTGCGTGATCGCGAGGTTGACCGGGCAATCCAAGACCTCGTTGAAGGTTTCCTAGTACCTTGAGTTGTATACCTTCAGTGTGTCGCTCGGTTCCATCTTGACACTTAGTAAGTGATCGACTTCCTTTGGTGTTTTTGTGTTGGTTTTGAAGCGCGTCACAAAGGCTTCAGCCAACTGGTGCCACCTTTGTATGCTCCCTTCCGGTAACCTCTCGAACCACTTTAAGCCCAGTTCGCCTAAACTTGACGGGAAGATTAAGCACATGAGTCCGTCATTTCGCCTATGTCCGGCCATAACCTGTCGGAAGTGGCTCACATGCATGTAAGGATCGGTTTTTCCGTCGTAGAGTGTGAACTTAGGCTGGTGGAAGCCTGCCGGAAGCGTTGTTGTTTCTATTTCCAGGGAAAAAGGGGTGGCACTCAGCCTGGCCAACTCCGTATCTTCAAAGAGTGGCACTGCTTGGCGGGGTGGAGGCATTCCGACCTCCTCGCTGGCGTGAACCCCGTAGGATAGCCGTTGGAACGCCGGTATTCTCTGAGCTTCGTGCCAGCGAGCCCGCTCCTCTAAGACCGCCCGCAAATCCTCTGAATGAGCGGAGTAAGAGTACCTCGACGTCGTCACTGGACGTGAGGGTTTGTAGGTGCTGTCTTGCGCGCTAGACTTTTCTGCATGCGCGTCGGAATCACCAACCTGGTAACTCCTGGTAATAGATATGGACTGAGTGCGTCGCTGACTCTGACCGCCTGAACGGCGGGATGGGGTGTGCTCACTGTGGTCTCCCACTCCAGCTACACCTTTACCTTTGACATGCCGCTTCAGATCCTCCATCTCCGCCGCCATTCGCCGAATGACAGCGTCTTGGTCCCTCAACTTATTTTCCAGACGTCTGGCGTGTGAGTCTCTCCTCCGCCGGTGACCGTCTGGACTCAGTGAATGTCCATGATTTCTTCCGCGCTTATCCCGCGCGTCTCCTGACTGGCCTCCGGTGGGCGTCCCCAAGTCTGCCATTGGATGGATGGCGGGAGGTCCCTCTCTCCTTCGGGTGTACTCCGGGGTGGCTCCGTCGATGGCGGACAACGGGAACTCGTCGTTGTTCGCCATGGACGGTGATCAGATGAACCTGGAAGGCAAGGTTTTGTCTATCAAGCTTCCCACAGACGGCGCCAATTGTACGGGGAGCATAATGATCCGGGCAAGCCCGTACTCCTTTCTTCCGAGCTCCGTTTCTGATCCGATCACCTGCGAGCAAATAACGTGAGCTACCCGGCCGGCGTGTGGCCGAAAAAACCCTCCGACAATCAAGTTAGCACAACACCTTAGGATAGAGAGAGAGAGGGGAGAGTGTTTGAATGTAAGAATTTCCTTACAAAGTGTTCGTCCCCACGTATGGGGGGCGCAGACATGCTTATATACCCTCTGCGCCCCAAATCCCTCCAGTCATCTCTTGACACGTGGCTCCGCTATCCCATCTGTCAGCATAAACTCTGAACATCACCAATCTCAACTGCCTGCCTCTCAGCTGGAGCTTGGCAGCCAAGCTTCTCCTCGTCCACGGCCATGCTGTGCTTCATACCAAGCACTTCACTGGCTTAGCCCAAGGAGAGACCGGGCTAGTCGGGCATCTCGCAAAGCCTAGCCCGGGGCACCTCCTGTGGTCGGCCTTCCTGCCGATCAAACCGATTACCTCGGCTGACCACACGCCTTTCCGGGCGCCGATCACTCAGCTGACTGGCCTCCACCATCGCCTGATCAAGCAGCTCGGTCCAACGAGCACTTGCCTTGCCGAGCCAGCTTCTTTCCAAACTGGGCCGCACATCCTCGGCCAACTTGCCCAACCTAAATCTGTCCGGCAAAACCCTGTCTGGCTAGCGATCTGTCCGGCCAGTACCAGATCATTAATCTCCCTCTTCATTGGCTATAAACTGAATCAAGTCTCTCCCTTGATGGTGCATTAATTATGTCAATCAAATAATCATTATTTCCTAATTAAGACCTCTGCTCTTTAATGATTTCATTTGATGTGTTCAAGGCCCCATCCAGTGCAGCTCACTTTCACCACAGCATTTTAAATACCACTTTTATGATCTAGTACATGAAAATGAAAATTCTGAATCCAAAGGGAATATCACAGCAGGAAGGCACAAAAGAATAGCCATAACTTAGGTCTAAACCACAATATGTGACACGGTGACAGCATTAGATCTCTAAGATGTATACCTCAAACTTCACTATTAGATTACATTGTTAAGTTTATAATTGTTTGTTCTTTTAAAGGGCATACAGGATCTCCTCCAGTCCCAATGTTCCCTTAGTGCAACTATCACCTTCCTGTAGTGCCTTCATTCTATCATCTGCACATTACAACTTTCCCATCTTTCACACTTCTTCCCATATTCGACTCCCTCCACCATCAACCCACTAGAAAATCCTATCATCACCAACAAAAGAACTGAAAGCACTCTTCGTGTAAACAATGACATACACCTGTAATTCATACTAGCAAATTTCTGTAAGCACCTTTGTAGAAGAAACACAAAATTACAAGTATTCGCACAAGTGTATCCAAAAGATATTAACCTCATTAGATGGAACTTTCAAGCAGGCACGTAGCGCTGGATTCTCCAATTTTTGCAACAACACACCAAGGCAAGGGAAACCTGGAAATTTATTCAGAAGTGGGTTTTAGATCATTACAAGCTGGTTGGCAAGACCTTGCTAATGGCTAGGATAAAATCTTACTACAGACAGAAGAACTGTAATAAATAGCAGGAAAAAATAACTTGCCAATGCCTAATAAAAGTAAAAAATCATCAGGGAGTTTGTGAGAGAGGACAGATTCTGAAGGCATCATCATGGAAGTGCAAACCTATTAGCCAATCAAATCCCAATCCAGTGACTTGTGGGTGCACATGTTTGTCAAGAACAAGGACAAAACAGATCCATACGAGCAAATAACGTCTACAGCAAGAATGAAAGAACGGAACAGCTAAATAAAGGAATATACAAGGGGAACAGCATTAAAGGATTTCGAAGATTCAGACACTATGACATAAAACCCATAGATGGCAAAAAGGCAGGAAGACAAAGTCTCCCTGATAGTTGAGTTCGAACTCTCATAAATAGAACATACTAGTCTTCTGTCAATTCTGCCGTCGTTTCTTTTACAAAAGAATACTTATATCGAAAAACTTTAAAGTGATTAATGCGTATAAAATTGTAATAACACAGAGATTTGAGGAATCATGTGAAATAAACCCAAAAATTAATCATTATAAACATGAAGGTGATTTCCCCCAAGCCTAATTAGATGTTTATATTTCAGCCTTCTTCATCCTTACACTCCAAATGGGTCAGCACCATCGTCATTTGTGTAAACCAATGGACACATATTTAAGGGACTAATCCCAAGCATGATACAGTTCATAAGCATAAAAAACCTAGAATGAAATTGATAATTTAAGACAATTTCTTACCAGTGTATTTCCCATTCCTCTCATAGTCCTCCAGAAAATGAGACACTACCGTAGTTGGAATAACATATCCAATATTCTCAGCCTCTTCAGATCTGTAAACCTGAAGGAATTGTTTCGTAAAAACAGAGTACTCGTCAGTAATCCTTGTACAAGCAAGAATGAAAATATGGCGAACACAGGTCATTAAATTATGATCCAAAAAAATGAAACATAACTGTTGCTAGTTGCAACTACTTCAATAATAGACCTTAGCAAGAATGTTGTAAGATACAACTAACTTGCCCAAGGTACAAATTATTAGGATTCCATATATAGCAGATAGTCAAAAAAAAGGTGCAAGGAGTCGACACCAAGTAACGATTGTCAACTTTGACAAAGAACTACCTGAAATGCAACACCAATGCACTCTCCCTGGTCATTGAAAGCAGGACCACCACTATTACCTAAATTGAGCAAGTATAAGCAATTGTTATTGCTAAGAAACAGAATTCAACACATAAATATTGCATTATATCATACTTACAAGTTACAACTATATGATCGGAAAAAGTTTCATTCACGAGTGGAAAATTAGTTGTTAGACATCCACTAACCAGGATTTATTGCAGCATCAATTTGAATACCCAGCAACTCAGACGATCCATGAGCATAAGATGTGACCTGGCAGTATAGAACTGGTAAGAACCTTGATTGTTTGTTCAAGAACACTTAGGTGCAAAGTAACAAGTTTAGGGTACATTAAAAATTTGTAGCAAGTGGTGTTATCCTGGTAGTACCTCTAATCTCTCACTTTCACAAATGAAGTCATTCAAGTCTAGTAAAAGAAACAGAACCCAGTGTCATGGTTGCAAAAGGTAAAGTCAATTAAACATCAAAGTGCCTATGTTATAGCACTTTTCAATATTCAGTTGTTCACTGAGTGGTTTGAGAAATAATGGAGATCATAAGTGAAATAAATGCCACTCTTAGCCATATCTACTTGAATTATTCAGGCTTCAGACTTTTTTGCAAATCTTGCACATGTTACATTTCAATTATGTCAGCTTGGATATCAACCAGTTGCCTTCTACGAGGAGCTCTATTCAAGATGAAGCACCGGCTCTTATTGAAATTGACCTTTTGGCCATTACAATCACCTTCTTATTTGTTTCTAGAAAGAATTGAAGTTCATGACCATTATATTATATTATAATATAAGATATTGTTGGGTGCAAAGGTGTAATCATTTTCAATGACCATGTTAAATTGTTATATTTTCTAATGATACCAAATCCTGCAAGCCTCAGCTTCGCACTTTTTCAGCTAAAATCATGAACCAGCTGCCCCATAACACATGGAGAATTCTCAAATTGGATAGACTAGGTTCACTTAACATTAGACTAGACAAGAAACAATGTGCATTTAATGTTCATCTTTGTTACTCTTGGGTTTTGACACTTCAGTTTTTAATTTATAAATTTGTCTTCTATACCAGTCATATTGTTGTAAAATAATGCATGGTAAATAATCTTCTACGGAATGACAGAACTAAGAATAAATTGCTGCTAAAACAATGTCTATAGAAAAAACCGAGGGCATGTTTGATTGCCGGATTGGATACCTTGAAATTGTGATTAGGATTAGGGAGGATGAGTAATACCATGGAATTACAGTTTTGCTGCTTTCGACACCAATTCAAAAAAAAAAAAAATCTTTGATTACTCTTTTTACCACTTTGTTGCTTTTGACTCTCGAATCTCTAACATGGTTTAAGTAAAATGCATGTTTGACTGTGATCATCTCTGTTGTGATGCAACTGCCTGTTAGTAGTCATAGAATCTGATTCAAAATAATTCATTAATTATTCTTTTCCTAAAGCATCCTCTTATTTTCCTGGATTGTTTATTTGTATTTCTGGGAATACAGACGGAGTTTTCTTAATTTAATCTCCATGTCTTAATTCAGACGTGACAGACTTTTTTCATCTTTTGGCAGCAATCAATGAGCCTCCACTCCTTTTCCCCCAATGAAAGATGATGAAAGCTGTCACTCACTGTCTAGACAATAATATACAGTTCATTAGATTTATAGCATGAATTAGATAGATCGTTGTCATTAAAAACAATGTACAACTTGAGTGTCAAGATGAGGTTTGCTGTTCGGGGAAAAACAAGTCAAAAGTTATGAGCAGTGGAATATCAGTAACTAATTTTCACATAATATTATAGTTTTATGATAAATAAACACACCTCTATTCGCGATACCACCCCTTTGGTCACTGAAATGGTATCTCCTCCAAGGGGATATCCCACAACAGTTACTGCATCCTGCCCATTGAGAAACAAAAAACTTGTTTAAAAAGTTTTCAGGTGAGACATGTTTATAGCATTTATATAGAGAATTTCTATATTACAATAGTAAATATTAAGTTTATTTCTCATCTACAAGATTCCACTAAATTCTGCCATATGGGCAAACGGAAATTCCATGGAACAAAGCCACTAAAGCTTCCTTCCACAAATCAATAAGCACCACAAAAAAGAATGAGAACTAAAACCAAATTGAACACATAAAAAAGATTCAGTGTAGCCAAGGAATCTAGCAAGCCAAAGGCACTAAAACCAAATTTAGTGTTTTCTTCAAGCATGTACCATATTTACTTTTTTATTTTCGTCATTCTGCTTTATGCTGTAATTTTGAACTAAAAATATAAATATCCAAAAGCAAAGCAATTAGGCACCTACATGTAGTAGCAGTCAAGGACTTCTAGTATGATGACAATTAGAAAAACAGATTGATCTATCAATTTTTAGTTGTTCTACATAAACATTGTAAGAGACATTTTAGATTTTGTAAAAGCAAATGCCAAATATTTCGTCAATGTACTTTGTCAAAAAATCTCTCCCACCGTAGACTGGGAAAATCCTGTAGAAAATTCACATAACTTGATGGAGCTTATATGATATTTCTGCTATTGTCTACATTTCAAACACAACAAATTTATTTGTCAATGTTAAGGTTGTTAATGTTTCGGCTTGACCAAATCAACTAGTAGTGAAAAGTACTTCCAGAATGACCCACATCTACACGAAATACTAACTTCAAATATATGAATAAACATACACAATAGGGCCTAGATAAGGGAGATAATATCAACTGATGATCAAGGTTGTTAAAATCGGGATCCTACGTTGGATCGTTGGAGGTGTTTATAGGATCGGATCGTAGAATCGGATCGAGGATCGTAAGATCCTATCGAAAAAGACAAATTATATAATAATTTAATTGAAATAAATATTTCTTATAAAGTATATACAAAATGAGCCTATATTCTATTAAAAAGAAGTGAAGACATTATGAAAAATATAATACTCCATGTAAAATGTACATATAATATTACACAATAGAAAATTCGGTGGTAAAAGTTTTGTATTTCATAAAAAAAGAAGGTGAAGAAGAAGAAGAAGAATTCTATAACAAAATACTTTATGTTAGAATTTACCAATTTACTCCTCCACCTACCATCTCCACTAGCACCCACTTCACCTACCACCTCCACTACACTACACCTACTACCCAAACCCTCTCCTATATAATGCCACTCTGATTTGTAATACAACACATCAATACAACAATCTACCAATTTACTCCTCCACCTACCATCTCCACTAGCACCCACTTCACCTACCACCTCCACTACACTACACCTACTACCCAAACCCTCTCCTATATAATGCCACTCTGATTTGTAATACAACACATCAATACAACAATCTTGTAACATCTATCTCAATCAATAATACATATATTTTTTCACTTTACAATCTACAATAGTGCATAAAAAGTGAAGAAAAAATATTTAACAAAGTTGGATATGAAAATAGATTAAGAACTCAAAAGAGTTGCTTAACCAAATGATAAGGTTTGTTGTTAGCATCCCTGGTGGAGCAGATTCAAGTCACAAAAATAATCTCTTGTAAAATTGGGATAAAGTTTCAATCATCTTACCCTCCTTAAACTTCACTAAAGCTAAGTTTGTTTTTCCGACTATTTAATTTTCTTAAATTACCACAATATTTGAATGTTTATTTCCTAATTTGTTTTTCTTAGTCTATTTGATTCAATGCTACTTAATTTTTATTATTTATTTTGACCACAAAAATTGGTATGTAGACAACATAAAATTTACAATAAAATATGTCATACAATACAAAATAAGGCTTGTAAATTGGATCGGATAGGATCGGATTCGGATCGGGATTCTACGATCCTATGAGGTCCTACTACCAGGATCGAAAGATCCTACCTATAAGGAGTTTTTTACACGATCCGGATCGATTGTACTCAAATAGATTGTAAGATCGTAGGATCGTAAGATCCAGATCGGGATTCTGATAACTATGTTAACAACCTTGACAACATGTGAAATTTGCATGTTAGTGTCATGTGAAATTTTAGTTTCAAGTGGAATCTCATATTTCTAACAATGGGAAGAAGTATGTAATCAACTAAAATGGAAAAGACTTGACCTAGGTGCAACATTATAAGTATTCACAACTAAAATCTGAATTACATGGTTGTATGTTTGAGCTATGATATCTAATTTATTATGAAATACAGAATTTTGTAGCTGAAATATACATTCAATTAGAGGTGGCAAACCCAATCCAAACCCATGAACCTGCCCAATTATACTCAATTAAAACCCAAATAAACCCGCTCAAATCAATAAATAGGCTTAAATACGTTGCTCATTGTCAACCCAATTGGGCTTACATGGGTTGGACATGGGTACCCGTTTATGTCTCCCATCATTGATTGTATGAAGAAAGGATAGTTCCAATGGAATACAACTGCAGTCTTCAATGAAATTAAGAAGAGGATGACTCAAGATCCAGTCTTGAGACATTCTCACTTCTCCATAGTCCTCGAAGTCTCTTGTATGTGTCCAATCTATGAAGCACGGATACCTCTTTGAGGCTTGCGTATCAGTGTCGAACACGGACACGCATCAGACACGCTGTGAACACATGTCCGACACTCTACCGAGAGTGTCCCTTTTTTTTTTTGAATTTTTTGCAGCCAGACATGTTCAGGACACGTTCGGGACATGTTTCAAGCACTGTAGGGTGCAAAACATAATTTCCGAAACTTGAAGTGGTGTCAAATTGTAAAAAACCAAATTAAAACAATTAACCCAATTAGGAACCCTACAATCGAACTGATTGAGGAGAAGAGACAAGAGAAAGGGTTGCTCACCGCTCGTTGCTCACTGCCATATTGAAGGTAAGTTCCTTCTTCTTGTTCATTCAATCTTCTTCTTCTCTTCTTCTTGTTCGATCTTCTTCTTCGAGTGTTTCAATCTATCTCTCCGTGTCGCTCTTCGTTTTTCTTCTCTCTCTCTCTCTTCTTTGTTGTCTCCATCTCTGTCACTCTTTCTTTCTTTCTTTCTTTTTTTTTTTTTTTTGTTGTCTGAATGTAAGGCTTCTCTCTCTCTCTCTGATTATTTTGTTGGCTGATTAGTTTTATAATTTTATTTGAAAGAACAAATTTGTTTTATTTGAAGAAAAAAAACAAATTGTAGTTGATATTGCCAAGGTTGTTAAAATCGGGATCCTACGTTGGATCGTTGGAGGTGTTTATCGGATCGGATTGTAGAATCGGATCGAGAATCGTAAGATCCTACCGAAAAAGACAAAGTACATAATAATTTAATTTAAATAAATATTTCCTATAAAGTATACACAAAATGAACCTATATTCTATTAAAAAGAAGTGAATATATTGTGAAAAATATAATACTCCATGTAAAATGTACATATATTATGCAATAGAAAACTCGATGGTAAAAATTCTGTATTTTATCAAAAAAGAAGGTGAAGAAGAATAAGAATTCTATAACAAAATACTTTACAATGTACAATAATGCATAAAAAGTGAAGAAAAAATATTTAACAAAATTGAAAATGAAAATAGATTAAGAATTCAAAAGAGTAGCTTAGTCGAATGATAAGGTTTGTCGTTAGCATCCCTGGTGGAACGGATTCGAGTCACAAAAATAATTTCTCCAGAAATTGGGATAAAGTTGCAATCATTTTACCCTTCTTAGACTTCGCTAAAGCTAAGTTTGTTTTTCCGACTATTTAATTTTCTTAAATTACCGCAATATTTGAATGTTTGTTTCCTAATATGTTTTTCTTAGTCTATTTGATTCAATACTACTTAATTTTTATTATTTATTTTGACGACATAAATTGGTATTTAGACAACAAACATAAAATTTACAACAAAATATGTCATACAATATAAAACAAGGCTTATAAATTGGATCGGATAGGATCGGATTCAGATCGGGATTCCACGATCCTATAAGATCCCACTACTAGGATCGAAAGATCCTACCTATAAGGAGTTTTTTACATGATCCGGATCGATTGTACTCAAATGGATCGTAAGATCGTAAGATCATAAGATCCGGATCGGGATTCTGATAACCATGCTGATGATCACATGCACATGGAATAATTTTGAGTGCTTTTGAGGCATTATTATTGTAACCAAGAAGAACAACCTGATCCATACTTGTCAACAAAGACCCTCACAAAGTTTTCTTGTTAAAACTAGCACTTAAACCAAACCAAGCCAAGCCAAGCCAAACCTTAAGTCCTATCAGATGGGGTCGGCTATATGAATCCTTCCCCACTTGACTCTATCAAAGGCCATAAATTTCATAAGGGATCCGAGCGGCTTTTTACGTGTTAAAACTAGCACTTATGCTCACATAATGCTTGTGCCATAACCATAATATAAGCTTTGGCACCATTTACATACTACCCACTTTAGCATAAATGAAGTACTGTGATCTTCAGCTTGACAAGTCTCCATCTATATTTTAGGCACAATATATTCAGGTCCATATGATTTCCACTGGTTGAAATGATGTTAAAACTTCGGAGAATGATTCCTGAAGCAAATCAGATCATTATGTGGTGGCTACTAGAGATCTTTGGTCTTTGATTCTAAGAATGTTTAGTGTAATGTGGGTGTTCCCTACAAATGTAGTGGATTTTTTGTACTCTTGGAGAGGAGCTAGTGGGAAGAGAAGAAAAGACCTTTTGGTGCCTTTGGCTTTTATGTAATCACTTGGGGAGAGCATAATCAGAGGACTTTTGATGGAGTTGAAGAACCTATTTTTAAATCAAAGTGTAAAATTTGGTCTTCTTTGGCTAACTGGTTCTCAGCTAGAGTTGATCCGTCATTGAACTAATTTCTGGACTTTGTATAGTCTTGAGTTGACAAGATGAACAGTTGATTCAAGTATTTTGTTTTGTTTTGTTTTGCTACTATAGTGTATAGGGTTGCACCCCCTGGGTGCCTTTTTATATATTAATTTAGAATTTTTACTAATGAAACAAATATATATATTGTGAACCAAATCAGACTGTCGATAGTCATCATTAAGACTACTCCATATTACTTATCCAAAAAAAAAAGGGAAAGAAAGAAAGAAAGACTAAACCATATTTATAATCTATGAAGAGTGACCATCGGCCTGTTGAACTCCAATTATATATCTTTCGTAATCAATTGGGAGGCTCATAAACCCTATTAAATACATTCGCATGAGGACTTAAACATAATACTGAAAAGCCGAAAGCCCTTGAATGGTATTTAAAGAAGTTTATCTATCCAAATGCAATTATTTATTTTCCTAAAGAGAAAAACCATAGGAGAAAAGTTTGACCTGCCCTAAATTCCTCTTGGTTATTCAATTATACAATAATCAATCACCCAGCCAGATAATAATCTTTAATGTAATTATTTATGCCAGTGTCTTGTTAACTTTTTATGGTAAAGCCAGCATGATTACATACAAACACAAACAGTGATAATCTTCACACTCGGGGTTGGTTTGGGAATAGACTATGGGGGTGTTTGGTGGAGCTTTTTTAAGCCAACTTATGACTTCTGGCTTTTAAAAAGTTATTTTGGACTATTTCGTTAAACTTATTTCAAACAGCTTCTGATTCTAACAACTTATTTTGAGTCAAAAAAGCTGATTCTGAGAAGCTGCTCACCCCCTGCTTCTGATTATCAACTTCTGTTGTGGACATGTTAATTCACGATTATACTCTTAGATTTTTTTATTTTTTATTTTTTTAAAAATAGAAAAAGACCCAAATAGACTATTAAATATTATTATTATTTTTTATGAAAAATGTAAACAAATAGTGAATAATAAAAAATAAAAATTAATTGAAAAAGCTATTTCACAGCTTATTTAATAAACACTACTCAGCAACTTAAATCTATAATCCAACAGCTATACTAAACAGATTAACAGCTTCTGATTAAAGTCATAATCTATAATCTGTTAAGCTATAATCTATAATCTGTTTTAACAGTTACACCAAACAACACCTATTTTAGTAACTTTTTGGCTAAAATATGAGGTTAAAAAAATAGTATGTTTGGGATATTTTTTAGCGTTTTAGGAAAAAATGTGCAAAAAGTAAAAAGAAAAAGGAATCTTTGATATTTTTGTATAGTTGCTTGGCATTTTTTGTTCTTCCCAAACTAAGCCTCAAATGTCCAAGTCCAATATATATGCTCAAGCACACAGTAGACTGAGAACTGAAACTATTCCTCTTTGAAGAACTACAGTAGAAATAAAACAACCTGAAGACGAGGCAAGCGTCCAAAATGAAGTGGTTCAGCTCCTTTCCAGAATTCCTTGCTTTCTACTGAAAGCAAAGCTATGTCACATTCAACACCTCTAGCTAAAACCTGTACATTAAATCACTGAGACGAATGTAAACAGCAACGCATAATCATCTCAAACTGAATAATCAGAGCAAAACTAATAAATTTAAGCATTAAAACAATTCACAATAGGATATTTGAAACATCAAAGGACACAATTTCTTGCATAGCAATGAGACAAGCAAAATCTGAAACTACTGAAAAGAAGATTAATTAGCACTGAAGCAAACAATATCAAGGTTATCACCAAGAGAAGTAGCATGTTTTCAAAAAATACAATTTCATGGTCTTTCTGAAGTAAGGCAGACTACACAAAAAAATGACTTGCCTTGATGCAAGTGTCCATGTGTGTGTCTGTAGGGTGGAAACGTAAGCAGTAAGGCAAACGTAAAAATTGGTCATTATCACTATTATTGCACATATATGGTCTAATTTCTAGGATTTCATCAAATGGTATCTCATTAATATATTTCTAAGTGCTCCAAAAAATGAAATGGAATCATAGTATCGAAATAGGTGTATAAACAACCATTTTACAACTATTATGTAATGAAAATTAAAGGAAAGAAAACATATAAGAAGGCACATTTTTTCCCTTGCAAACAAGTGATACCTTAGCCACATATTTGGTATCATCTCCCCTTCTCTTCACTTTGACCTGCATTCAAATGAGAGGAAAAATATAATTGGGCTTTACCAATATTGACAAAATATAATATAAACCCACCAAACTCCAATACATATTTTATGATGCAATGCATGATTAAGAAATAAACATATTGAACATAATAAGCGTATACGTAAAGACATAAACATAGGTATATAATCAGAAGTTCATCTTAATTAGAAGGGTAGTCCCACTAAATGAGGCTCCTGTCACTGTGGGGCCTCGTGAAGGTCATAAGTACACAGCCTTACCTCCACGTGTAGAGAGGTTGTTTCCGAGGTTTAACCCTAATGCAGTGCCAAGGCCCGCACTCGGAAGTTCCTCTTAATTATTATACTTATTGTAGGATGACAAATATATAGATTAGTACACTTTTTTGATATAATATGCAGATGAGTACACATTTATATGCACAAGCAGGCAGAGAGAGATGGAATACTTAAAGATGATGACATACTCAGGATCCTAAGAAGAATGAGGGCAGGGAGGAAATACACAACCAATGGAATATAGGCAAACCTCTTCTTCCTAGCATTTTAAGTTACAGAAAAGGGAACCGGGAAAGGAGTACATATCAATTCATGAACCAGGAGATATTAGAAGAGAGAAAATTGAACCAATTATGAATAGATGTATGCATTCTTTTTTTGCCTTTCCTTTCCCTTTCTCATGCCCAACAAGGATGAGACACCTTTCTTCACTTTGTGTTCTACAATGCAATTTCTTTATAGAAAACTGTCAGTAGTTGTGTCCCACGAGGCCGACATACCATCATCACCAACGGGGTTGGCTCCACTATCACAAGGAATGAACCTTGCCTCGGTGCATCCTCTCCCAGTGGCTCACCCCCTTGGCGGTTCGCTTTGCCTCTACCTTGTTCGCCTCATGGCCTCATCTATCATATTTCTTTTTTAGTGTCCACATAATAGGAACTTAAACTTCAAATTATCCTACAAATATTCTTAAATTATTTGTGAGCCAGTGATGTGCTAATAATTTTTCCTATCTAAGAAGCAGAATGATTACTTAGTTTATTATATCACTGATATAGACCATTTCTACAAAACCCATTGGCTCAGGTGATGATAGCTTGAAATCAGTTGATTGGAATGCAGCTAATAGAGACCGGCAAAGGCAATCATAATTTGAACATAGAAAAATTTCAAAAGTTACCTGTGTACCATGTTCAACACAATGTGCATTTGTCAAAAGTTTCCCATCCCCAATCATAAAAGCACTGCATTGAAAAGAAAATTCAAAATAAATAAATATTGAACTCCAGCAAATATCTTCTAAATTCCAAAGACTGAACATTTGTAAATAACAAGCATAGAACAGAACCCATAATGCATTTTTTAATCAACTAAATCTTTAAATTTTCACGGAAGTCACTTTTCACATATTTTCAGGAACCGCTAGAAGAGGAAAGAATTCAAGACATGCCTTCCAGTACTTGTGTATTGCCTTTGTTTCTGCCAAGGAAGGGAATAATCAGGTGCGGTGTGGGTACAGTAAACCTAGGCAAAAATCAAATGAATAAAAGTTAGCAAGGTAACAGAAGTAGATATAGACTTAATCAAAATAGAATTGGCAAATTATTTGCAAATGAAGAACACCATTCAAAGTTACTGAACATACTAATGTCAAGCATTAATGAAGAGGAATGAAATCAGTGTCTGTAGGCCATTTACTTATATGTAGTCACAATTTTTTATTTAATTGCTATGGGGCTAGGCTGGTCAGCCCAAAACATCTCAGATGGTAAAGGTTCAGAATTTTAAAAAATGGGTAGGCAAATGGGAAAGTTACTCTTCCATCATTTGAGCAGAAATACTAAATACTAAATAAAATAAATCCTTATATCCCATTAATAGTTGACAACACTTTCTTTAGTCTCCCTTCAATAAATTATAAAGATCCTCCACCCAATATGAGCTTCAGTTTGTTCATTCAAGCAATCTGATCAGTAAACAACATATGGGAACATTTAGAGAAAGAGAACTTTATCATATGTCAAGGCCCATAGAAAAGAGTACCTTTTTTTGAATTTTTTTTTTTTTTTTTTGATAAATAACATTGAGTATATGGACCAGATGATTTAAATCATTTGCACATGCTGGATATCAGTGTATGAGGCAGCACTCAGCAATGCATCAAAACCATTCCCATGATGTGTGTGTGTGTGCGTGTGTGTGTGTGCAAGAATGACATGAAAAGTTCAAAAAAGATGTCATAACTACTGAGTGGAGTTCAATCTGAAATTTTAAAAAAAATAATCCTGGAAACTCTAATATCAATAAAACTATTTACCTTTGCTACAGCATTAAGAAAGGTTGCATCTTGAAGATTACCTGTTTCAACCTGTTAAGAAAATACTACAGCTTAAACAAAGTAAGAGTAAAATACTTTATACTTATAAACAGTTAAAAGATGATATCAAATGGACAAATCTCAGACTAAAGAATGCAATTATCTTCTAGATCCCATAAAGAATGCAGCAACAATTGCACAGATGAATTCAATGAGCATAGATCAAAGTGCTTCTCTTATAACCGTAGAAATAGTTAGAAAACAATAAACGAGCAAGTTTTTCCAGCACAAGACCACCATAGACATCCAGCAAAGTATGAAAATTGTCAAATCTTGGATCCTAAAGCAAAAATCATTGCAGGGGCCAAACAATAGAACAAAGTAACAATTACGATGATGATTAATGGTAAAAAACGACAACAAAAAAGATAAACAAATAACCAATGAGACTAAGAGAACCTACTAGAAATTCAGTAGATAGACATTTATATTACACCATTTCCTTACACAAGCACATAATGCACATACTTTCTCGTGCAACAAAAAACAAACTAAACTACAGATTGAACTTTTGTCTTATCAGATGTCTAATAATCATCAACATATCTATTAGTATGCAAATCAGGTTCAATTACACTTTAAATTTGATATCTATACCATATCCAACTTCTGCATCAATTCCTGCCTACCATTGTAAATTGGTGGTGAGACATACAATGAATTTGATGTAATTTATAATGGAGGAAACAAACCCCCAAGGGGGAAAGAAAATGATAAAAAAGATGATCAGGCAATGTGAACACTACTTATCAAAACAAAAACAAAAAAATAAAAAAATAATGCAAAGTGAACCCTTCTTACCTGCTGGTCCTTTAAGTCTAACAGAAATCCCTTTGTATCTTTTTTCTGCACACCAAATGATTTAAATGCTGTTGACTGAGATCGCCCTGTATTACTTCTGCCACTATTGCCATCAGCAATTGAGTTAGGCCTTTCATCTTTTGATCTTCCAGGAAACTTCTTCTGTGATATAGCTTCTGTCTAGATTAAGCATACATACAAGTGATAGCTAGTTAACTGCAGTTTCTTATTCTAAAACTTTACAGAGACAACTAATTTAAAACTGCAGTTTTATATCATCAAAGATCTTCCACATAGAGGATTTTAAAACCATAGAATGCATACACGTGATATGCTCAACCCATTGGAATCTAAAATGTAAAAATAAAAAGGCTTAAAACGATTATACATTCTTTATTGCACTTACTTTCATGCAAAATATACAATCTTTTTAAGTTTCTTAACATGTGCACTTTGGACACGTTAACAAGATCTATTCATATATGGGTCATGCCTAATGGGTGGTCATTAAGGATCAAATAATGCCCAAAAATAGTGTTAGATTTTCAATACGCATTTCACACATCTCGTACACTTCTTTTTTTTATATACATTTTTCACATATTTCAATACACTTTATACACATATACCAACATTAACCACCGCCCAGCATTTCCCTTAATACATATACAGTCAAATTATGAATTACAGAAAGTCAATGAACTAAGAAAAAGAAAGGGTTAGTTTCTTTTTTAACAGATACTTTCTGAAATCTACTTTGTTTGAAAAATTCAGTATACCTCATTAGTACCCAATAAATAATAAATAAAAATAAAAAAACCTAGATAAAGATGTAGTCTTGCTGAGGCAACGCAATTTTCATGAAAGATTTCAATGTTCAGTGCCCTATTACTAGAGACTAATCCAGAAACAGCCTCAGACATTAGGGCGAGCCACTGGAGTCCCTTGTCACTGGTCCCTCTTTTACGAAAATCCCGGGGTTTAATCACAGCATGAACACAGATAACTCAGCAGCATGCGGGACATATATACATATTGGGAATAAAAAGGCTATGTAAAGCCTTCTAGATAAAGCTGTATTGAAGATATACAGAATTCTCCTATTTTCTGTTTATTGTAACGCAAATAATGCCAAAAATTTCAAACTTCAATACACATTTCACATATATCAACACACTTTTATACAATTTTACACACTTTTTACACATATTATCATATACCAACATTTAACAATAAATAGAGCCCTAGATAAGGCAACGTTCATGAAATACTGCAACATATGTATATATATTGAAAATGAAGAGAATTAGGTATTTACTTACCTCTGGGGTGGATTTAGGAGAAGGAGGAGATTTGTTGGGAATTGATTTCTTGCGATTGGAGGCATTGGGGATGAATAGACGAGTGGTGGTGGGTCTGTGAGAAGTGGATAAGAGGCGTTGGGAAGAAGATAGAGAGTAACGAGAAGTACCCGTGGAACTGATCGTAGAGAACCAGCAAGCCACAGCTGCAATCGCCATTCAAGCACAGCAAACCAAAAGCTAACGTAAATAGAGCTGAATGAATATGAAATAGACTTGCACTCTCACTCTCTTTCACTTTTCTTATCCTTTTTTGAACGACTACTTTTCTTATCCTTTTGATTTTGCAAAATGATTTCACTTCTCCGGTTGAATTTTTACCTGATCGAGATTTTTTATTGTTTAATGATTTTTATCGATGAAGTTGCGCAAAATATCTCTTAATTGGTTAAGAATAAAGATTGGGATTCCTCTTTTTCCATCCTTTTGACTCCTTTTCTCTTTTGATGGGCCACCTTTTTTTGATGGGCCACTTTTTTTTTTCCTTTTTCTTTTTTTTTTTTTCTTTTTTTTTCCAATCACCATCCGTCACGCGTGTGTAAAGTGGTGAGAGTTGAAATTTGAAGGGTCTAAATCACTGTTGATTCGTTAAAATCGTATCCATTCGTATCACTTTATCTGCTAATCATGATCTAAATTGTAAAATTTATAATCTGCTTTTAAAATCGTTTTGTTTCACTATAGTTAATACTAGCCTATCACCCGTGCTATGCACGGGATAATTATAGATATTTATATTTTTTAAAATTTTTTTTAATATATAAATTATGTTTTTTAAGATTTTTTATAAAAATAATTTAACAATCTTATCACTAATCATAGTGTACATGAGAAATTAAAAAGACTACTGCAGTAACTATGCATGGGTTGTATCTATAATTATTTGTATGAGGGGTTTTTAAATGTTAATCAGGGATTTTGACCAAATCAATAAATGCAGACATGTGAATTAGAAAAGTTAATAAATGCTGATCAGGAGATTTTGACCAAATTCATAAATGCTGAGAGTTTTTTTTTTAATAAAAAATTTAGAAAATTAAGATTGAGAGATTAGAGCTCCCACAAGACTTAGGGTTTAGAAACCCCATTTTCCTTAATATATTTGTAATTTTTAAATATATATATATTTTTTAAATGTCTTCTTTTTTTTCTTTTTTATATTATATTAAAGTTTAATATTTTGATAATAATCATATGTGTTAGACTTTTCAAAGAATTAAATGTCTTTTTTTTTATTATATTATATTAAAGTTTAATATTTTGATAATAATCATATGTGTTAGACTTTTCAAGGAATTTCATATGAATGTGTAACTTTGTTCGCAATGGGTGCGCACAAGTAAGTAGGAAAGCCGTAGAAGGTCATTTGTTTTGGCGCATTTAGTCCAGTATGATATTTGTGACTAGATATGTGTAAGGGTATGATAGCTAAGCCTCAATAAAGTTATAGTTATGATTGTGTAAAAATATCGTCTAATTCGCACTCCCCTCTTGCTAATCGTGGATTAGTTTGATCCACTGTTTGAAATTTGTAATCCGCCTTCAAAATTGCACCACTCAACATATATATATATATATATTTTTTTTTTACCTCTAATGAAATATCAAAGCAAATATTAGTGTGTCAAAAATTTATATGTAAAATTTATTACAAATTAATAGTTATATATATATATATGAAAAATATTATATAAATTAGTTTGTATTACATATATAAAAAATATTATGTAAATTAATGTTATATATTATGCAAATACTTCATAATTAATTAAAATATTTTTTAATATGTCAATCTATTTAAAACTATTCAAATCACAATTTATTAATCCACTAATCTATTATTTAATTTATAATTTTATTCTCTAAATATCTGAACTGTACCGCACTACCTTTACTTCCCTATAAATCTCAAATTGCTCGAACCATACTACACACGTCCTTACGAATTGGGATCCTCCCCTTGAGGCCCCTCCTTCATTCCCTCCTTGTAGGGGCCTTCGGGTCCACTTTGAGGCCCAGTTTTGATAATCCGAACTGTTCATATTTTTAGATTTATTCAGTATATCATACCTGTAAAAAATTAAGTTGATCGAATATCATAAAGTATGTGTTCGGAAAACTGTTTATTAAAAAATAGTTTGTAGTCCCAATTTTCTGAACGCATACTTTCTGATATCCGATCAACTTGATTTTTTACAGGTATAATATACTGAATAAATCTAAAAATATGAACGGTTCGAATTATCAAAACTAGGCCTCAAAGTGGACCCGAAAACCCCTACAAGGAGGGAATAAAGGAGGGGCTCAAGGAGGGATCTGGACTCCGTCCTTACTTACCGATAAAAAAAATTATTTAATGACTTTTATAATAAAAAATTTTAACTATCGGTTTCAGTTGAAAGTTGAACTGTACTGAAGCCGTTGCGTTGTTCATTTTACCAACTGGTATCCTTTTTTCGGCGCCTCAGGGTGTCTTCGACAATGTATTATTAATGGCCCAATGGGCCTCCTCTCCTGTTTTGTTTTTTTGGGCAGTTACAGGATGGCCCTATAATTTGTTCAATAACTGGGTCTCATTTAATAACTTGATTATTTTACTTAGATTGTTTAAAATGTCTTAAATAAGTATACTTTTTAACTTTATAGATTAAAAAATTGAGGGAAAAAAAATAGTTGTTTGGGTTAAATTTTTGACTTTTTACGAAAAAATGTGTATTAAAAATTTGTATAAATTAGTATGTAGGAGAAGATAAGGACAATAGGCAGTTACGAATGGCAACGGGGCGGGGACCACACTCCCCGTCCCCGTCCCCGCCCCCGATCCCCAGCGGGGATCCCATCGCCCCCCCTCTGCCCCAACCTTCGATCAGGGATCCGGTATCCCCGACCCCACAAAATCCCCGAATTACATAATTTTTTTTTTTTCAAATTTTTTTTTTAAACATCCTATTAACAGAATATGTACATATTTTAAAATTAAAATAGAATTTGTACATCCCATAGCATAATTTGTAAAATTAAGAAAATCCGATAGCATAAAATTAAAAGAGAATCTGTACATATTTTAAAATTTTAAACAACCTATTAAGAGAATCTGTACATCCCATAGCATAACCTATAATCAGTCAATACAACCATTAAGAGAATCTGTCAACATAATCTGTCAAGCTAAACTCAATAGCAAATTAAAAAATCTGTACATATTTTCAAATAATCTGTAATCTGCCAATACAACCATTAGGAGAATCTGTCAACATCATCTGTCAAGCTAAACTAAATAGCAAATTAAAAAATCTGTACAAGTTGACATAATCTGTCAATAGTATAACAACATAATCTGTCAATAGCATAGCATAATCTACCCAAAAAATTCAACAAGTTGACAGATTCCATCAATCAGCCATAATCTGTCAACTGAAATAGCATATTCAGTCCAGTAGCCCACAAAAAGGAAAATTCAACAAGTTGCAAATATAATAATTAGTCCAAAGCACAACCCGCATGACATAGGCTACCCAAAAAATAAAATTAAAAAAAAAAATCCATTACAATATAAAAAACAAGATTGTTTGTCCAATGCAACTTTCATCATCTTTCAAACCACATTACAATACAACTTTCAAACCACATTACAACTTTCATCATCTCCTTCAACTTGAATTCTTGTTAAATAACAAAAAGGAAAAAAAAACAAATAATCAATACTAATAATAAAATGTAAAAAATATTAACAATCAAAACAAAAAAAATGACAACACAAAAGTGGCACACGACTCATCCGAGTCGATCTCATCATTATCATATATAGTTGCATAGCCCACCGATTCTAATGTTGAATTTCCTAAAAAAGTAAAGAATATAAATTCAATATTGAAATTATTCCATGGTAATATAAAAGTGAAATAATAATATGTAATGAAATAATAATATGAGTACATTTCATCTCTATACTGCACAACCAACTTTGTGCACACATTAATGCTTCTAATGTGTTTGGATGAAGTCTACTACGATGTGGACTCAACAACTTTGCACTAGTACTAAATGCTGACTCAGAAGCAACAGTGGATACAGGAATAGCTAAAATATCCCTAGCTATTGCTTGTAAGGTCGGATACTTTGGTCAATTGGCTTTCCACCAATTCAAAACATCAAAACCTAAAGTTTTTGGCAAAACATCATCTTCTAGATCATGCAAATGCCTAGTTCCATTTTTTGAATCACCTTCAAGATGATTATTACAATAATTACATATTGTCTTCCACACCCTATTGATTTGTTGTTTCTTAAAGTGTTCTCGCACAACACTAGGTTTTCTTTTACTTCCTCCACAAGTATTAGACTCTTCCTCTAAATCAATAACATTTTTATTAGAGAGGGGAGACAGTGAGTCTGTAGGTGAGTTGGTCGCTGGCGATGATTGTTGTGATGCATCACTCTCAAATGGCACTTGAGAGTTAACTGGTAGTTCAGGGTTAACTGGTACTTGAGAGTTAACATCTGACATTTTTTACATTTATAAAAATAATATGGATTGAATTAAAATGTGAATGAATCATTAACAAATCAGGTCACAAATAGATTAATAAAATAAACAGATCAATAATTAAAAAAAAAAGATCACATTTTGATTGTGTATGCAAATAAAAGTTCTTTTATTTGTTCCCAATTTGTTAGCTAGCTTTATTGCCCTTGTTCAAAATTTTGAAGTCACATTTTCACAAACCCAAGAACCAATCATATCATCACTGATGTGTATTAGAGAGCTCTTGAAAACATTATTCATTGATGCTTCATCAACCTCTTTTTTTCTTTCCTTTTTTCTTTTTTTTCTTTTATTGTAAAAAATTACAGGTTACAAACTCTACTTAATACAAACTATTGTTTCACCCACTTTAATTCTTACACATTTTGAGACATGAAATTAACTATAATTTCAAATAAGAGATAACTATGCTTAATAAATAACTCTGCTAACAGATTAATAAATAACAGATAACAGATCAATAACATATCAATCATATATATATATATATATATATATAACTCTGCTTAATAAATAACAAATACAGATCAATCATATTTCAAATTTCATATAATAGATATAGATACAGATACAAATTTCATATAACAGATACAGATACAGATCATAACAGATCAATAAATAATAGATACAGATCAAATTTCATATATATATATATATAACATATCAGTAATATCATATCAATCATATATATATATACAACAGATCAATAACAGATTACAGATCAATCATATATATTTTGATTAGAGA